CATTTAGCAAAATGGAGATGATACCACCTTCCTGAGGGTGCATGTAGAAGTGTTCATGTGCAAGTGCTAGATTGATGCCAAATAACTTTATAATCAATGCTGTATGTAAGCGACAGTAATGTTGAGTGACTTTTGAGATGACAGCTCTAGTCAGAAGTTTTCTGTGACTGAAGATCCTGTAATCTCCTTAAATCAGTTGTATATAATATGAAATTACAACAAAATAAACATGCACAAGTAGACAAATTGTGGAATATCATTTTTAGCATTGTCTCTCCTGTTCTGGATGTGCAAATACAAGTCCGGGGAGGGCTGGATGGATGATATAGTGAACTAGTTTAAAATCAGGATGCATGAAGGCTAAGTACAGAGAGTCGAAGAGCCCAAGGCTGAATTGATTCAGTCTTCACAGGTTAGTCTAAGCTGTGTAGATTGAGCTGATAAGCGAGTGAACAGACATTCACTTTTGATTCCAGAAGTGCAGTCACATGTCTGCAGTGGCCCAGGCCAGAAGCCAGGGGGCGCTAGAGCATGCCTCTCTGTTCAGCTTGGGTCAAGGCTAGCCTGCCCACCCTGCGAGGGAGGGTTTGCTGGGGAGATGCAAAGCATCCTGGGATGCTGGGGGACTGCGAGTTAATGTGAATCTGGAGGGGATCTGGGACAGAAGTTCAATAAACAGGTTTAACCTAACTCAGTTAAGTCTGATGCTGCATCCATCCGGGATTATTGTAAAGTGGTTTTGGCCATTTTTCAAGTGGTTTATGTGCACTGAACTTTGTTGTGCTACAGATTTGAACCAGTTTCCAATCACTTCATGTGCAATTGCTGTCCCTAGCTAAAATGTTGCTTCCACGCGGGAGTGAACGCAATGCATGGGTCATAGTTGGGAAGAAAATCCCGTTTGGGTGGCCCTGCTGACTTGTCTGTCCTTAACCTAATTGCTCATTTTTCAGGAACTCTGCAGAACATTAAGAGATACAAAAAGCCCTATTTTTGTTATTTAACCCTTTGGGTAACAGTGATTTAACTAATTAAGGTGACAAGGGTTCCTGTCGCCGACTGCTGCTATCCATTATTAAACAACTTCTTAATAGAAATACTTTATTGAAATGATTTTAAAGTATATTATTCTATCAGTACTTAAGAGTTGTCTCTTACCCTTTTTAAAGATTAACTATATTTATAAGCCTGTATGATGACACTGCGAAGGAGGCTCTTTCCTTCTGATCCTTCTGGAGAACGTTGCTCAGTCAAATTTCCTAGGGCTTTGCGCAGTTTATCTCCATTATGTTTGCCTCTCCTCTGCCACTAGATAACATAGGGAGTGTCATAGGGTTTTTTAAATCTTTTTTTTTCACCCCCCCCCACCGTTTTGTGCTTCCAGATCACTCAAGAAGCCGGAGAATTTATGATCACATTTCCTTATGGCTACCACGCTGGCTTCAATCATGGCTTCAACTGTGCAGAATCCACCAATTTTGCCACACTGAGGTGGATCGACTATGGGAAAATGGCTACTCAGGTAGGTGTCTTTGCTTGGAGGAGCAGGTTCCTAATTCCTTCTAGGTGACTAAAGGCAAATAAATGAACAAGCCTGCAAACACAAACGTAAGAATGAAAATAGCATCCAACAAAGAATATGCACTTTCCAGGGTTTTATGCCCACTTGATGATGATTGTCATTCTAGTCTGTGTCTTCTTACCTGTAAGGTGTTTAATGCATATTATTGGGAGGGTTGCTTTAGTATGCAGAGACTTGGGGGAGAGGTTGATGTGATGTTTTAGTGGCTGGGGTGAAGCAGAAATCTACCACCTCACTTAAGTATTGCAGGGAATGAATTATCTCTGAGTAACCAGTATTTTAATCCTCTGTACTCAATTGAAAAAAAAAAAAAAAAAAAAGTTGAAAGGGGAAGTCATGC